CGAGGACGACGAGGACGACAAGGAGGACGAGGAGGAGGAGGAGAGGAGGACGAGGCAGGAGGAGGCGGAGGAGGAGGAGCAGGAGGAGGAGGAGGCAACTGACATAAAATCTAACAACCCTCACCTGGCAGGTGGGGAAAAATGTTCCAAACCACCAACCAGAAAATAATGTCGGCAAAACAATGCAATTTTTACCACCCATTTTGGAATGGTTTATACTTTATACCAACTATCTATGGTGATTCGGGGGATGGTTTACTATTGTTTTACCCACATTAACCCGTTTTCCATGTTTTCCCATCATGACATACTAGCTGGTTGACAACGGTTTTTCCTTGGCCCTACTGGATATCATAAGTTTAATCAACCGATACATTTTCTGCTTGGGTCCCTAGAAAGGTTGACCATTTTTTCGAGGAAAGTAGATGATTGCTATGGGTATCTGAGAATTTCAGGTGAAACTGGCTTTTCTACCCTACACAAAATCAACGATGAGAGTTCTGTGCAACATTTGCCTTTTCACCTCGCCTAAGATTGTAGAAATTCCACGCATGATATTGCTGGAAAAATACATTGAATCATCCACGATCAATCCCATACGGCGTCAAATTGTTGGGTCATGACTATCAAGAATTAACTGATACAAAAGATGACCAAACACTAGTGGATCACTGGATCAATTGGTACTTGAATCCCCTCATTCACAAGCCTCAGCTAGCGGCTGTTTGTCCATGGTTTGAATCCTGGTTGACTGCTTCTGTGGGAGACGATTATTTTTCCCAGGGATCGAATTGGAACATAACATAACTTGGAGGTCCTACATTCATGGCTTGAAATTGATACCTCAACGTACCTCAACCAAACTTTCACATCCACATAGATTTACTCAAATGGATAGTGAATTTGTTCGTCTCCTATCACCTCGCCAAAGAATTGGGTCGACCTCAGGCCATAAACACCTATAGCGGCTATATGGAACTAGTTAGAGAACATATAAACCAACAGTTTCATCAGTTGGGGCTCCCTGTAGCGTTTCATGATCCATTTCTATACCAATTTGGGGCATCAATTTGGAACCGCTCAGCCACTTCCAGCAACTTCCTGGGTGGGCGATCCATTTTGGGTGAATTTCCTCATAGCGATTGTTTCACATCGAGGACTAAGGTTGATACCCTCTGGTAAACGTTTACATAACTATGGGAAGATCCACCGTTTTTACTGGGTAAATCCACTATTTCTATGGCCATTTTCAATAGCTATGTTAAATTACCAGAGGGTAATACAATGTTGAATACCCCTGGGGTGCCCAAATGAATCGATTCAATACCAAGGGGCCGTGCAGTATTGGCGGGAAGAGATTCATCATCTGAACAATATATGAAGGTTTAACCATCATTCAATGGGGGTATATATTTTACAAAGCCAACTCTATACGTAGTTTTATGCTATACCCTCTGGTACTCAAACATAGCTGGTAAATCCTTCATGTAGTTCGATTTTTTCCCATTTCCCCCATTGAAAAAACGAGGATTTCCCAGGCACGGAGAATTTTCCAAATCTAGATGATTCACCCTGAAAAACATGGTCATTTTCAATGGCTATGTTGAATAATCAGAGGCTATTCAAACAATAAGGATGGGTCAATTTACCTATTTACCATCTTGGGGGGAATAAAGATCCATTGACCAGCAACAGTATCTTGGGGTACCTGTACCATCCGGACTCATAGCCATATGAATTGCTAAGTTGCACTGCGCTCCATTCGCTGGCCATAGCTCGCTGAGGCTATCCATGGCGCGATTTCAACAGTACAACTGAAGCGTCAATGACCCGGTCAACAAAAACCAGTCGATAAAACCAGTCGATCATTCAATGAGCGAATGGAATTTCCAAACATCTGCTTGGATTTGCTGAAAAGGACTCCCCCCACATATTTCTTCTATAGATAGCCTAGAAAATCATCTTCAGCAAGGTCCGGTTGACGATCAAGTTCCTGACCGTGGCTGCGGCCGCGAGGTTACGAGTCAACACTTTTTTTTGCGGCGAAAGGTATCTGAGAATTTAGATAAATCTAGGATAAGATACCAAAATTCCATGGTTGGACAACTCATTTTAATGACTTGTTAGTGACAGTTTTGCGATATTTTGTGGGGGTTATCCTCATTTTGCCCGATAACATGGCAATTTTACACCATATCCCATGATCAGACACACCCAAGTGATGCCCAAGTGCCATAGACTTCGCTTCAGACTACTCAACCTGGCCTTTCTAAAACAAAGCGGGAAAGCGCGACCAACTTGGATCCCCATACCCAGTGGATTTCCGCACTGATTTTGCGCGGAGATCCCAGTGGCCCAGCCGTTTCTTCGGCGAAAGCCCCGGGACTCACATGGCCAAACGGGCAAAGTTCCTGCGAAGCAAACCAAACCCGAACTGCACAGGGATCAAAGCTATGGGACGAACATCTTGCTGAATCGCTGCTTCGGTTACGGGGAAACCCCACTGCGACACGGGGCCCAAAACAAATGTGTAGAGCCTAAGATTGCAATTCACGGGGAAGATGATGATGGACCAGTTGATTTTGGGTAGCCTATTTTCAGACAAGTTGATATTCTGATGGATTGAACTACCACCACACATGGAGTATCTTTGGATTTGTTCCGAAAATGATGCATTTTCAGACAAACCTACATGGTTTTTCCAGCAATATCACCAGTTTGAAATGGCTTAACATCCCGAATAACTAACATAGCTATTGAAAATGGCCATAGAAATGGTGAATTTTCCCATTAAACATGGTAGATCTTTCCATAGTTATGTAAACGTTTACCAGAGGGTAACATCCCCAATAATCATTGTCTTAATATCTGAAATCCCCCACGGGATGGGATAGATGAAATGGCTCAAAATGTCCACCTGTCCATTCACATCACGTTTTTTGGGGCACCATCCTGTGAAAATGTACTGTAAAACCCATCCTCCAATTCGGAGGTCAATCATCTGCCATACCCATATTGTCCCAAACTCCATTAGGTATATTAGGTCAACCATCCTGCAATAAATCACTGGTTGGTGGTTTTAACCATCTTGAAAAATATGAAAGTCAATGGGAAGGATTATCCCATATATTGTGGAAAATAAAAATGTTTGAAACCACCAACCAGATCAACATTGAATCACCATTAGATCCTCACTTTTGCTTGGCAAAACATCAGCATTTTCCACAGCCCAGCGCTGAACTCTGCCTTCCGGTCTGCATGTCCAGGCGGTACTCTAAGCCAGCCTGGGACATCCTATGTGAGTAGCGTAGAACAGATTTGGGTTATAAATACCACTTATGGGAAATCTATGGGTATATGCACTATGGGTTCTTTGCGACTAGGGTGACCATGAACAAACACAGCTATTACCAGTAGATTCACAAGAAAACACAGATTTCCAATGGGAAAATAAAGAATAATCTTCAACTATTTTTCATCCAGACAAGATGATGGATTTCAATTCCTGACGCGCGGGTCCCTGTTCTTGATGACTCCCAATTTGTTGATGATAAAATAACTATTTTTTCTGGGTGCACTGTCACACATTTGTTGGTTCATCCCAGATATCCCAGGTCCTTAAAAGGTCATGGCCAATCAGCCAGATAGCCTGCACAAAGTGACAAATTCTTGGTGAATGTAGTTTTTATCCCATAGCAAAAGACGACAGTTAAGATTAGTCCCTACCCATCCAGTCGATTGACCTACTGTGGATGGTTGCGAAATCCTGCACCACCGAAAGGATGGTTGAAACCATCTATCATCCCATTATTTTTAGGGTTTCAACCATCCAAGGTGGTGCAGGATTTCGCAACCATCCACAGTAGTGGCCAATCCAATAACCATCCCATCTGCATCCTTCGCTGAGTCCTCCTGCGGCACAAATCCCATTGGGCGGCACTTCTTGCCATTCCGTTGTGGCCTCACTGCAGGTCTGTGACTGATTTTTATGGGTTTTGTTGGGAACATCTTAACCGGAAACCATCAATGTTCCCATGAAATATGGGGCTTCAACTGTAAATTTGCCCTTAAACCAATCCATTAATTGATCTCCATGTTTTGATGGTGCCTATTTTTTTTGACGGCCCAAAATTTCATGGTCCAAATGTCTGAATCATTTCCTTGGATTAGCCACCCAAAAAAAGAACCTATTCCCAATAGATTCCCCATTTCTAGTGGTTTGAGTGGGAAAATGCCTAAAACCACCGACGTTTTACACACTAATCAGATTAGTCATCGTGATGTCAGTTGTATCCCACGTAGTTCGATGATTTTCTCAAACATCTATAGTTTCCAACCATTTACTTGGATGATTTTGCGGTGCAGTGCCACCACCATTCGCGCCTCGAACCAAACTTTGCCCTCAGGCAGTCTCAGCGTTTCACCTTGGAAGGGGTTCCGTCTCCACGCAGATAACGTGCGTTCAGAAACGAGATATGGCTGTGGCTGTGGCTGAACTATGGTTGATTAGGTAGATAAAACGGAAATATGGATGTAACCTATCTGTATGGTGAACATAACTAGATCAACGAACTGGTTTTTGTTGATGTTGATTAGGGAGATATCATGGACGATCGTATTCATGGGGCTTATGTCCACCAACATTCACATCACGTACACGGGGGCACCTTTTTAGTAGCTACAGGAGTCCTGGAGGTCACCCATTGACCAGCTAGTGCTGTGTTTTTCAGCGGTAGAGACAACCAGCTACGCGTGAAATCCCAAGCAATGATTGTGATCATTAGTTAATTACAACAAATTGCAACACCAAACAGGTTTGATTTTTCTGATGCTTTGATTAATGATGGTTTGATTTTTTGTGAAACCCCCACCAACAAACCCAGCAACAACAACAAATTCAGGGGTGACGACAAGACACACCAGGGGACAGTCTTTTAGGAAAAGGACCCGCAACTTTCCTTACCTTCCAGCAATCAAACGTAGCAATGGAACATTGCCCACTTATAGATGATTCTCCCACTAAAACCTCTATTTTTATTTTTTCCGATATTTTCCATGAATTTCTCATCACACTTTCATTTAGTGCGGGATATATATATATATGGGCATTTCATGGGATATTGTATGTATGTATGTCTGTCTGTCCGTCTGTAGGTAGGTAGGTAGGTATGTATGTAGGTATGTATGTATGTATGTAGGTATGTATGTAGGTATGTATGTAGGTATGTATGTAGGTATGTATGTATGTAAGTATGTAAGTATGTAAGTAAGTATGCATGTATGTTTGTATGCATGTATGAATGTATGTATATATATAACAAACTTGATATGATATTTATAAGATTAATCCTATCTTTGCCTTTTAGAAATCGGCCATTTGGCATAATATCCGTGTAACAAGAACATTTCCCAGAGCCAACCTTAGAACCCCTCTAAAGAATTCTTTATATAAAGAAAATTAAAGAATTCTAATCTCCAATCAAAACTCATTCACTTAGGTTTGGCTGCAACTTTATGTTTCATTTCCACTCCTGTTGATCACCCTTTTGTGGTTTTGATGTACCGTCTCCACGAATCCATTGATCAAAGATTTTTCATGGGCGAATCAACATCATGAATCATGATCACATCACCATTCCTGATGATCAAATCATATTGAATCCAAGTATTTTTTGACCAAACTCATTTATATCATAGAAAATTCATAAGTTTCATGAAAACCAGTCGGTGAATACCACCGGATGCCTCGTTGTCGCTTCCGATCTTCCAAGAGTTCTCGGCGCCGGGTGCGCACGCGATCGCGCAACCTGGCCGTTTCATTGATCCATGGAGAAGGCATCAAAATGTGATTACCATCTGGTTATGACTAACAGTTTGCCATAGAAAATCCCAACCATAAATGGAGGTAGGTTTCTAGCTGGGAAAATCATTTATTTCTATGGGCCATTTTCCATGATATTCCAATACATGCAGGATGGGGCCCCCAGTCGATAGCGTAGCTAAGGTGCCTGGAAAAAGGGGCATAATTAATGATGGTGAAAGTGGTCGATATTTCATGAACTAGTATACTATAGAATTCTATGGTTTATGGTAGATATACTTGGATATAACTATAGTTTTCATGGGGTTTATAGACCAACTTACAACTGGGGGGCACCATCCTGTAGGGAAACCATCCAAGGTAAAAGCTCAATGGGATGATTTCCCGAGCTAATGATGGCTAGGATGATGGTAAATGGATGTAAATGGGATGCATGGGATGAATTTTTGTCATTTCAGGAACTCTTGTTATTTGCCAGTTCTAACCAGAAATGATGAGGATTCTTCAATTCAAGGTTGAATTTTGAAGGATTGAAGAATTTAGCATGGGAAGATTTCATCATCGCAGATTTGGGAAATAACAATTAAACAAATGTATAATTTAACCATCAATCTTAGGAACGTCACCATCAGTTATTATTTTGATCGCTAGGGATGTTTCCAGCGACACTCGGGGTGGACCTAGGGACCATTTGATATTAGAGGGATGGGATATAGCTTTGTCACTTGTCCCGAAGAAAGGGAACAACCCAAAAACTGCTTTGGAATCTAATTTTTCCCAACAACACCATACCCTAAACCCTAAACTCTTAAGGTTAATTGACACCATTTCTGGACAAACCCATATGAATGGGGGTGTCAATCCACCATGAGCAGCAGCAATTTTGATGTGAACAGAGTGTTGATCCGTTTGTGATGACCATTTGAAGATGACCATTAGATCATTAGGGTGGAGAGAGCTGGGAATTTTAAGCAACGCCATCAGGAGTTCAAAATGCCCATCTTGTGGGGATTTGTGACCATTTGAAGTCCAACAAAAACCAATCGCTTTGAGGCACCCACTTTGACAGCTGACTTATGGGATCCCCCAGGAGTCCAGCCATAGACTCTTGCCGTATTGATGACACAGGCTTCATCCGTAGAAGGGAATTACCCTCTGGTAAACTCACAGTTTGCGAACTGGAAAATCACCATTTTTCATGGGTAAATCCACTATTTCGACTGGGCCATTTTCAATAGCTATTTTGACATAACCAGAGGGTAGAAACACCAAGAACCACCATCCTCCGGTCATCACAGGGCGCGCGCCTTTCGGCATTCTCGGCGCCAAAGATGTGTCCGTACTCAAAGAGGATCTGGTGCCAGTGCTGCCAGGAACCTGCGCAGTTCACAGGAGAAAGTTCTTGGGATAGCAAAGAAATGGGCGAATAACGGATGATTTCTTTGGATTTCCATTGATTTCCATTGATTTCTATGGAATTCTATGGATTTCCATTGATTTATATGGAATTCTATGGATTTCCATTGATTTCTATGGAATTCTATGGATTTCCATTGATTTCTATGGATTTCTATGGATTTCCATTGATTTCTATGGATTTCTATGGATTTCCATTGATTTCTATGGATTTCTATGGATTTCCATTGATTTCTATTGATTTGAATGAACTTCCACTCCAAAAGAAACCTGCCCTCTTTGGACGCTAACGCCACGATAGATCGCCAGGGATTGACCTTCCAGCTTCTTCTTGGTTGACTGAGGAGCATCCAACGGCATGTTGCGCCTCGGCTCCGGTCTTCGAACGTGATATGCTGCAACAATGGCACAATGGACGGTTTAGTCTGGTTCTAGAAGGTGAGCCCAAAAAAGATTCAATTGGATAGTTCGTTCGTTGACAGTGATTTTTTAGGCATTTTTAGTACCTGGTGTATGGCTGTTTTTATTGGCTTATGGTAGATATTTCATGAACATGAATGACCATTGATGGATTTAACCAACCGACGGCCATAGACGGCCCGAAAACGCTTGTAGATCTAGTAATCCGCCCCCTACGAGATACCGATTCAGCTGGATGCCCCCAAACAGCACATGTGAATGTGGGTGAACATAAAGCCCATGAATATAAACCATAGTTAAGTAAACGTCTACCAGAGGGTAATTGGGATATAGTTGGTTTATAAACCCCATTAACCATAATAGTTATCTAGTTCGTTACATCTACCATAAACCATAGTTAAGTAACTTGTATCTCAACTGAATGCTGTCTTGGGGGCACCGATCCTGTTACAGTTTTTGCAATGTCTAGTGGATTTACCGTTGGGAAAATGCCCCAAAACCATCGACGATTCGCACAACGCAAGCATTGGAAACGACGTTTCACCCAACTTTTCACCAGGACATCTCCGAGGTAAAATCACCATCAAATCATATCAACCATATTTTCGCTAAATCTGGATTTTCTCTTCGAAATCAGCTGATAAAGCGATTTCCAGACTTTCCGATCTGAGCCGCTCCCAATCGGTCAAATCATCCACAGCTGCATGGAGATACTCCTCTAAACCTTAGGATCGATGACAGTGGAGATCTTCCGACTGGGACAATGCCTAGTTTTTTTTTTCCTGTGGCCAAATTCATGAGTTTTGATAACATCAGAAACGAATTAATGGTGACAATATGGTGATTGATTCATTGAATGAAAGTTGACCATATAAACGGATATCTGGGGGTTGATTGATGGATATTGACTAATATGGTTGATTACCAAATCAATATATATACATATATATATAATATATATATATATATATCAATATTGTCTTATGATTCACATCCATTACAATATATTAAACGGATATTAACGAATGGATATTGACAACTATCAATATCATCATCCTAATTTGTTGGAACGACACACACACACACAATGCCGCCAGCAACTAGCAAGTGTCTACCCACACGGAAGTTTCTTGACATTAAAGGACTCCTGAGACAAGAAACGTATCAAGATTCATATCTTATCAAGATACATATCAAGATGATAAAAATGATTCGACTATGACAAAAAACCGCAACAATTGGTTCGGTCGACAAACATATGGGGATGTACTATGATATAAACGATCTGATAAGATATGAATCTTGATACGTTTCTTGTCTCAGGAGTCCTTTAATGTCAAGAAACTTCCGTGTGGGTAGACACTTGCTAGTTGCTGGCGGCATTGTGTGTGTGTGTTTCGTTCCAACAAATTAGGATGATGATATTGATAGTTGTCAATATCCCCATTTATGGATTTTTACATCATCGTCCAGCATCATGTAAACCATCCACTTACCATCTGGTTATTTAACACCGCCATGGAAAATCACCATTTTTAATACGTAAACCAGCTATAAATGGGCCATTTTCCATGGCTATGTTAAATGACCAGAGGGTATATCACCATGTTTCGATGCGTAACAACTCGTATAAAACACGAACGAATCATCGTCCCCTGACCAGAAAACTACCGCAGACGTGGCCATCTCGATGTCGGACACGATTCAAGGCCCCCAGTTCCGCCTGCCTGGCAAGCAAACAAAGGAGAGCAAGAAATAACATGGTATATAAACGGGTAGTATGATAAAGTGCTATAATCTGGTGGAGTGATGTAAATATGGTATAATGATGTTTGTCAAATAGCGAAGAAAAAGGATACCAACAAGCACGATGTTGTTACGCATCTGAGACCTCCCACCTCTGTACAAAGGTCGCTGGGAACCAGTGGCACTATTGATGTCGCTTTTCGCTGGGGCTTCGCGTCCAATCTTTTTACCATTCCATGAGCGGACGAACTGCAAAGATGTCAATGAATTGCTTGGAATGGAAACAATCAAGCAAAAACTAAAGTGGAATATACCAGACACACATACTTCTGTCTTACTTCCATCACAACTTACTAACCTGAACATATCGCTTATGAAAGGCAAGCTATGGCAGCTATCGGGATTCTTGAAATCCAATTACCACCAGGGTCCCGAAACTTCTGGAATTATTGGAGTTAAACATATTCCCATTGCATATGTTTGCCGCAGAGGCAAACATAAGCCATGATGGCATCGTCCATTACTACCATCTCCAAATGGTGAAACAAACCTGTTGATAACATCCCTTTACCAGTTACTTCGAGCCAAATCAGACAAGGGAAAATCAATGGCAACATCCAGAGTCATAGATGAGGTTCTCATTCACACATTCATTTCCCGGGATTTTCCCAGGATTTTCCCAGGTTTTTCGCCGGCGAGTTCACGGATTTCCCGCGGACCAAGTCTTAACTGGTTGGTGGTTGAGCCCTACCCCTCTGAAAAATGATGGAATCCGTCAGTTGGGATGATGACATTCCCAATATGATGGGAAAAATAAAACATGTTCCAAACCACCAACCAGTTAAGGGTATAGAACAACATTTTCATTCTCGAAGCTGCATTTTTTTTTTTGCTCAGTTGACATCAGTGCCTCGTCGAGGACAAGTCTGAAGGGCAAGACTCGGCAGCTTCTGCCACCCGCGACCATTGCCTGGGATGTCACACCGGATGGGAATTGGATTGGGGTGACTATCTCAAAATGTTCCACAAAGTCAGATTACTGATTATCTATGACATATAGTCACCCATAGTAATCTGATTTTGTCATGAGATATTCAGAATGCCTGTAGTTTATCCAGAAGAATCGGGTGAGATATTCACGAACAAACATGGATTTTCCTATTCAAAAAACCGCTTTTCGAAGAGTTGCCGTCCGGTTGTTCCACAAATCAGCGGTCGTTTCACCATCCACTTTCGGGAAAACATCATCCCTGGGGGATCATCATCCCGACAGTATGGGGCCCCCGTTCGATAACTAAGTTGGGGTTCACATAAGCCCAATGTCACGAACTGGTTTATCATACGCAAATAACTATAGTTAATGGGGTATTTTTCAAGGAACCGTTACCGACACAGTATGTGGTTCCCAATGGATCTATTTTGGTATTTTTCAAGGAACCGGTGGAACCGAATCGCTGAAACCAACATTTTTGAATTCGCCGTTCATGAAATGAAGCGCGCACTGTGAACCGGAAGAGGCCCAGGGGGATAGCATGAGCATTTTTAATGTATGGACTCTGTCTTCTTGGGGATATTCACAACATGGTTTACCCAATATTTCCTGCTCCATTTTGACGTCCAAGTTCAGTTCGGGTGCTTGTAGTCGCATCTGCTACCTGTATCACACTTATCATAGACCTATCTCAGATCTTGGGACGCCAACATGGTTCTTGACCACCAATCCCCGATCATTTATTGGGTGAACACTTGTTCTTGTCTTCACCCTCCAAAATTTCGTAGGCCGTGGGGTCGCTACAATCAACCTATAGATGATCCATTTGCCAATGAACAGTGGGAATCATACAGGATGGGGCCCCCCGTTCGAGCTCGCGTCCAGTTGAGATATAAGTGGCTTAACTATGGTTTATGGTAGATATAACCAATATAACTACAGGTAATGGGGTTTATAGACCAACTTGTAACTGGGGGGCACCATCCTGTACCCAATCATAACAATCATACTTCTTCGCTCTTCAAGACTTTGTCTAGGGTTTTGAATATGATTTCATCACTTTCATCCCCCGAAATTCTTCGATTTGCTTGAGGAAGCCCCGCACAACAAATACAACATAATACAACTATAGATTCCTCAGGTAGTGAATTTTCCCATTGGGAGAATTAAAAAAATCACCGACTAAACACACGCAAGAAAATGCCACAATATCCCCATCCGGTGCCTCACAGCGGCTGCCAACGCTGCAGCTTTGAGATGCGGCGGCATCAAACTGCTTTCCTGCATCATGGCATGCTGGATACCCTCAGCCAATTTTTCGAATTTTGGATATGCTGGAAACAGTTCTATGTATATTACATATACGTATATCTTCTATCTAGTTTTCTTGGAATATAGATATACTTACACGTGAAGTTACATGCATCTAGTGTGCATATTGTGTTTATGCTTTGCACACATCATATATCATATGTATTCATACAGGATGGTGCCCCCCCAGTTATAAGTTGGTCTATCAGCCACTTCTATCTCTATGTCTTGATGAATTTTCACCACCTGCCGGAGCTGCGAGGCATCCCAAATCGGCATCCCAATTGTATACCTAATATGTAAATGAAATATACAGTATATATCCATGTAAGATACATAATATATAAATAAATATATATATAAAATATAAGCATAGAATATTTATATACATATATACACTACATAATAACAAAATATAATATAATATAATATAGTATAATATAATAAAATAAAATATCATATAATATAATATAATACAATATAATATATTATTAAATATTAGAATATATTATAATATAGTAAATTAAAATAGAATATAACATATTATAATATAATAAAATATAATAAAATATAATATAATATAAGATAAAATAAAAAAATAATATAATATAATATAATATAAAAAATAAAATAAAATATAATATAATATTATATAAAAAATATAATATAATAAAATATGCTATAATATTATATACAAATAAAAAATATAATATAAAATAATAATATATAATCTAATATAACATAATATAATATAATATAATATATTATATTATATGATATAATATAATACAATTTAATAAAATATAATATAATATAGAATAATAAAAAAATATACTACAATAAAATATAATATAATATAACATGATATAATATAATATACTATAATAAAATATAATATAATACATTATAATATAGAATAATAAAAAAAATACTACAATATAATATACTACAATATAATATAATACAATATAATATAAAATAAAATAATATAATATAATTTAATATAATTTAATATAGAATAATAAAACAATATACTACAATTTAAAAAATACAATATAATACAATATAATATAATATAATATGATATAATATAATAAAATAAAATATATATACTACAATGTAATATAATATAATATAATAACATATAATATAACATAATCTAATATAATGTAATATAATATAATATACTATAATATAATATAATAAAATATAATATAATATAATATAATAACAATAATAATAACAACAATAATAATAATATATATGTATATATACATAATGTATCTTACATGGGTTATTAGAATGGACAGCTAGTGTGGAATATGTACGGCTTATTCGTATTGGTGATTGCTATGGGTTATCAGTGTGGATTATTCGCCACTTCGAATTCCTACCATGCACAGCCACCATTGAATGGCATGACCATCTGCATCAATCATGGATGGTTCAATCTGTTTATCATCTTAAAAATCTTGTGTAATCAGTGAGAATGTGTACTGACAAGCCAACAAGTGGGTAGTTTTTACCATTTGGGTCCTGTCTGAAAATAGGGTAATTTTAAGTCGATTGGTGAATCATCATTTTCCCGTCATGAAAAGTGTAGCATTTGGGAGCAAACACCACCATTTTCAGACAGACACATTTTGATATGGGGATGGGTCAAAACGTGTTCTTACCATATGGAGGTTTCCAATCCATGGGGGTACCCCCAGTCATCATCCCTTTTAGATTGGGATTTTCCCTGAAATAAACCATCCATTTTTGGGTTCTTCCATTTCTCTGGGACTTGGCCCGGGTCACAGGATTTCCGCCTCGGCATGGGACACCACTGCCAGCAAGCTGGCTCCATCCACGTCCTGCGTACCAGCTTTTGGGCAAGGAACGTGGTTTTTTTTTTTACCTGATTTAACCATGAAACATGTGGGAAAATAGGTGATTTAGCCATGGAAAAATGGTGGAGCATTCGGATTTACCATCTGGACATTAAAAACGAGTTGCGAGCTGGAACATCACAATCTTTTTAATAGGTAAAATCATCATTTTTATCATCTATTTCTATGGGCCATGGCTTCCATGGCTACGTTAAATAACTAGAGGTTAGGCAACAACCACCAAACATAGGGTAAAATCGTGATTCAGCCATGAAACATGGTGAACAATGGGGATTTACCCATCAACAATGGGAGAACTTGGGATTTAACATGATTTCACCATCAAAATGGGGAATAAGTTGATTTAACATGATTTAACCACCGAAACAATCGGATTTGCAGTGATTTATGATAGAGGAGATGGCTGGTCTACTGATATTCTGAAACATCCACGGTTTCGCCATGCCATGACGAACTCAACATCCATACAATGTGGGGCCCCCCAGTTATAAGTTGGTTTATAAACACCATTAACTATAGTTATAAGTATAATAAACCATAGTTATTGGACTTATGTTCACCAACTTAGCTATCGAAAACGGGGACCCCACATTGTAGTAATATCATCTAACTCATGACCACCAATGAACCACCATTCTTTCACCAACTCACTTAGCATGCCACTAGCTACGGATCATCTCGGTCGATTCCCATGTTGAAAAATAGCTGGCTTTTAACCCCTGCAAAAAATATCCAAGCATTCTACTGGGGTTATTGTTGCATGTGAACCCATACATACACACATATATGTAACATTCTTTACATATAGATATCCCAAATAGAATTCATACATATTGCATCATATTGCATTATACCTACATATTAAGATAAGCCGTATGTAGAACTCATGACTGGCTTCTTACCTTACCCTAGCGTCCCGGCCATCAGAACCGTCCTTGGATTGCTGCAGCAGTGCTTCCAGGTGCGCCTGTGGTGAAGATGTCCCGCTAAACAAATCGAAACATTGTAGGGATTACCCTATGGTTATTTCATCCTATATGACAGGGATTGTTTTATTGTTATCATTATAATTCTATGATCCCGATTATTTTATGGTTATCATTATCACAGCTATTCACCTTCATAGTTACGATAATTGTGATTTGGGATTAGTGTAGTAGCTATGATTTGGGATTACTAAATCTAAATGGGTATCGTTGCCATATGAGGTTGGCGATCTATGATTGTACAGAGATCAGTATCATGATTGTTGTTATTGTATTAGGTAGTCATAAAGGTGTGCTACAACAATAATATCATTATTAACTATAGCCCCAGTAGCAACCATTCCTACTGCTACTATGACTAGTCTTGCGATTGCAATGGAGAATTCTTGTAGGGATTACAGTGACTATAATATTTCG